GGATTTCTTCCATAGCTGATGTCGTGCTTCACTTCAGCTATGCTTCACAGGTGACTGATAAATCTCCATGGATGTTTTCCCTTTGAAAATTTTATAATGCTGATGCACTTTCATTTAAATATGGAAGCATATTGGAACTTTATTATCAATTTCAGTTAAATCCTTAATTAAAAAGTCACATGGCTGCCTGCTTTGTTGCAAAACCAGAAGAGCCAACACTAATTTATGTACACTGTCAAACAGGCATAATTATGCTTCTGGTAGACTTGCAGATGGTTAGCACTGAGAGCACAACAACAAAGGTCAAAGCATAGCCACAGCTCACATGTTTCTAGCCAAATGTTCCCCAGTCAACTCTTCTATACACATATTTCCCGTGAAGTTTCCGAGGAGAAAGATGCTTAGAGTTTAGAGCTGTGGAGCTTTTAAGTGCTTCTGTTCATATGATGCATGCTATAACTTCGGAGACTTTTTTCCCCCAGACACTCAGGCTGTACCACACTGAAAGCTCTATTTTCAGTACCAGCAGTACAATTCCCAGCACGGACTTGATTTTCCATTGCTTTTGTTAAATATGAGAAGAGTCCCTTATAGGTTGAGACGGTGCCCTATACAGAAAAATTGCCACCGTGCAGATCTGAAGTCATTCAAGGGCAAACTATTTATTATGCCAACACCCAGACAAAGCAGAGGGCTGCTTCTGTACTATACCATCTCCTTAAGGGAATGGGCTTTTGACTTTCAATCCCTGGCCAATTCCCACCACATCAGGGCTTCCCTATGGAGGAGCTGTAGAGTAGTTTCTTAAACCAATGTGTGGCTCTCTTTTAAGCTTTGTGTTAGTCTGTTCTGTGGCAGGGAGTCGTGGCTGTTGCCTATAGGAAGGGCTTGTAAGGCAGAAGAGACTATGTCCAGACTTTCTAACTTGCTTTATGTTAAAGGAAACGAGGGACAAACTAACATCTCCAGTGGTTGGGTTAATGGGGGACATTATTTCCCTTGCTTCCCTGTTCCTTCTAATGTCTAAAGGTTTTATAACTAGCTCAGCTAATCCATGGTGGTTTGGAAACCAATACAGTTAACAGTCCCGAGGCCTGATGTGGCTTTCATAGTGAACAATTTGTACAGAACTTGCCTCAGAGAGATCCCAGTTGATTATTAGATAGTTTCAGTGCACAACTGCGCAACAAACAGCAGCACTTCTGCCACTAATAATCTATTTGATCATTTCTGCTTTTTAAAAAGTAAAACATGAACTGTCACTCTCAGAGTAAGCTGTGTTTTCTGAATTATGTCATACCTTTTGTCTTTGTTATTTCAGATGCTGTTTTCTCAGATTTCAGCTTCATTGAGCTTTTAGTCTGCCTGGTTTTATCAGAGGTGGAAGGAGACAGCTGGATTCTGTCAGTATCGTTTAAGTGCTGCAAATGAGAACAATAAGCTTCAGCATGCTACAGATGACTCCATAACAGAAGAAATACATTTATTCACAAATAATTTACAATTAAACAATAAATAGGTGGTGCCCAGTGACAGGACCAGAGATAGTGGGCACGGACTGAAACACAGGAGGTTCTCCCTAAACACCAGGAAACACATTCTTACTGTGAGGGTGACCACGTGCCTGCACAGATCACCCAGAGAGGCTGTGAATTCTCCATCTCTGGAGATATTCCAAAGCCATCTGGACATGGTCCAGGGCAACTGGCTCTAGGTTTGAGCAGGGAAGTTGGATGAGATGACCACCATAGGCCCCTTCCAACTTTGAACATTTTGGGATGCTGTTTTTGTTTGGGTGAAGTTAGTTACCCAGTCTAGCTCTGACAGCAAACACCTGGTCTTTAGCAATTGTTCAGAAAAAGGCTTAATGCTCGGGTCACCCTGCAGCTTTCTTTCAGTATTCATTAACCAGGAAGAAACAGCTTCCCCTTCAGCTTCCCCTTATGGCAAATATCAGTTGAAACATGCAGTGGGAAAGCACATTTTGCATGTCCAATGCTGTTACCCATACTGAGCATATTCACGAATACATCTAAGACTGTAAGACAAAAAGCAGTTTTGAACCAAGCTTTGCTATTTTATTGCATGTTGCTCTACAATACAGCTGTAATTGTGAGTGCAGGATAGCTTTACCCTGTCATAGTGTAACAGATTTACTTCTGCTTTTTTTTGACCAAGATGAATCAATTCAGTGCTGGAGGGAACTGGACACCTTCTGTTTTGTGTATCAACAAAACCCTCTTGTTCTGACTGCAAATGCCATCCCAGTTATAGAACAAGAGTAAGATTTTGTGGAAATCCAAGGGCACTCCTGAACCATTACAGATCTTCCCTCTTAGTACTGCTAGAATTTGTCATTAACCTCATCCATCTCCTGTCTAACGAATGATGAATTGTTCCATCCACTGCATACTGCTAAAATTCATCCAGTCATCAAGTTAGAGGTGAAATATCACAACGCACACTCCGTGCTGTCTGAAATTTTAATCTACTTAACCCAATTACATAGTAAGAGATAATGCTGTACATTCAACTGCTGAGTCTGCAGTGGCAGAATGAGGGAAGTGGCAAATCAAAAAGCAGCTCTTTGTTGCCTGCTCTAAGTAGGAGCATCATGCTGCAGATGCACAATGGCTTTGATCAGCTGCCACGTCCTTAACTGGGGGAGACGATGTTGGAGTTTCCTTCTTTGCTCTTCCTTTTCCTGGTGAGGGCTGTGACTATCTTTTATTCCTTTTGTTATCCTCTTTGCATTTTCAGTGTACAGTGGATATTTTATCTACATTGGCCACATGTCCTTTCTCCTCTTGCTTTCTTTTCTCAAAGCTGCATTACCTTAGTGATCAGTAATTGATACTTAGTTAGGTGTGTTTATGCTCCTGTGGGCCATTGGTGTCATCCTGTGCTTGTGCACTTCATTTCTCTGTGATTAACCTCGGTTCATGTTCTCCCTGGCCCATACATGCACTCTGAGAGTTTTGTTGAAGCTGATTCTCAGAATACACTCCATTTTCAGGCTGGACTCAAAATTATGGTACCATGTGAAAGAACTCTTTCTTCGGTAGTTCCAAGCATATTTTGGTATCTGCTATTAATTCTCCTATGAGGTGTAATTGTAGCTCAATGCAGTTTTTTGTTTGTTTGTTTTTTCCCAAAACAGCAAAATATATTCATTAGAAACTAGATGAAAAAGAGATCTGAGCTGGAATGGGGAAAGATCCAGTTGTGTTATCCTTCGGTTTGGCAAAAAGGATCAATTTTTAGAGCTCTTTGCTTATGAAAAAAATAATCATACATGACCAGATGCCTGTTTTCTACAACCTTCTGAAACTCTTGATAGGTTCATCCAAATTGGCAGAAGGTCTGTAAGGTGGATTGTCCCTACATGACTTTCAGAAATAAGCAATGAAGAAAAAGAGGGAAACCTGCAATGGGTTCAACTCTTAGAAACTTCAGAAAATCCCCACAGCAATCAATGAAACTACAGGAGACAAATTTTTGGATGTGCTGCCAAAATCTACTGATTTTTATCCTCAGACAGGTGGTGGAGCCTTTCCTCTTCACCCATCCCAAGGTCAGCAATATTCATACTCCCACACAAAATAAAAGGAAATAGACTTGAACAAAAACATGAACTGCCCATCTGACTGGTAAAAATTACAATGTCTGTTCCTTGTTTCCCTACTAGGGCTGCACAGTTACATAAAATAGCACCAACTTTTAGGATCCCCCAGGCTTCAGGGGGGTCTCTGCTCCAGTGAAGTCTTCCTGGGGCTGCCAGGGGGTGATCCCTGCCCAGGACCTGCAGCTCCCCCCTGCCCTCCTCCTCCTCCTCCAGCTCCCCTCAGGGTGCCTCTGCTGCAGCTCCCTCCTTGGCTTCTCCTCCTCGGCACAATTAGGCATTTATAGTGAATAGGGACATATTGCAAAAGCAGTTGATGTTTTTATACTCCATTAACCAGAGCAGAGCTAATTAAATAGATTTCAGGGCCGAGAGGCTTGTATCATGGAAGAATGTATTCTGGAACTGGAAAAATTGAGTCAGTTCATAAGAAAAATCTGAGATGATATGCCAGTACATCACACGATGCTCAAATTCCACTTTGGTCTATGTCTTTGTAATATATAAACTTTCTTTTCAGCTCTCAGTATAGGCAGCATTAGTATGAAACTTCATTTTTTTAATCCTATATCCGTTTCAAATTGCAACCGAAGAAAATGCATCAGTTCAAGCCATCAGCCTGAGTTGATGGGTATATTCTGCTTCTCCTCAGTGCACTTAAAGATAGATTATTTATCTTTATCTTACATTAAACATCTGTGAAGAATCGTAAAGCACTTCAGAGTGGCTAAAAATTCCCAGAATTCAATAGTAATATTTTCATTCAAACTGCTGAGTTTTTTTGCATGATGTTTTTCACAATTAGGGATACAGCACTTTTAAAGAATGTGTCATGAACTTGACTGTGTGCTGAGGGTATTATGGGCACTACCTGAATCTAGACTGCTACTTAAACACTATATTTTAAGTGGAGTTTTAGTGGTTCAGTTATAATTGCAACGTATTAATTTTCTATCTTAAGGATGTAAACAAGTTCTAACCACGTAATGCGGTTTGATACTTCCTGACTTAAATTTGCCTGCCCTATCCCATTTGACTAGAAGCAAAAGCTGATTTAAATCTGAAGCATTTTCTTTCTGCAGAACCAAATGAAGTCTTTCTTTACAAAGAAAAAACTTCAAGAGCATTAGCAAGGTAATGTAGGTCACTTTTTGCTTGAAGTTTCTTTTTATTCTTTCCCAAAATCTTCATGGAGTGGCATTGTTAAACCAGCTCCAGAATCCAGGAGCTGTGCATTATGCAGGAAAATCCACTGATGTATGGTAGATTACAGCAATGTCTCTCACTCTCCTAATGCCTTATTTTCGTCTACTGTTGTCCTTCATGAAAATGAAAACACTGAAGGAATGCACAGAGATTTTTTCTATCCTTAGTTTAATAAGAATAATCATAAATCCAGTTACAAGTGCTTTCTTCCTTCCCTCTTTTTCTACAGTAATATGTCATCTTTCAACCCAGACAGTAAATTCTTTGAAGAAATGACAATCTCTGATATATGACTCCCATTCTGATTTCACATTAAGTAAGCAATGTAGAAAAATGAATTTATATAGCAATATACTAACAGAAAATTCAGCAAAAAACACAAGCATAAAAAAGTTATTGATAAGAAATGTAATGATATTTCCAGCTCCAGCTCTATTATATTTGCTTTACACATAGGGTTCCAAAATCAACTCAAGCATACACACTACATATATAGAGAGAAAGAGGGACTGTTTAAGAATGTATTATAGAGGGACTGTTTAAGAATGTTTCAAATTAAGGGAGGAACATCTTTATCATTTTCGAAATCAACACAACTCTTCTTAACTTCTGTAATCCTCTCTGGATGTAGCTTTATAGGTCCCTGTCCAGTTCGTTCCTTTTCTTGGATTATCTTTGTCACGTCAGGGAATGAATATTTACTAGGATCCACTTCTAACTTCTCAACTTTTCCACTTCTGAAACAAGAGGGAAACAAATGGAAAAAACCTTAATTTCAGTGTCAAATATAAAAGAACTATTTGACTTTATTCTATGATTCCATGATTCTATTTTGAGTGCCTGTTTATAAAGAGATTGACTTTAGTGTGAGGATTGTTACTAAGTCCAATTAAACCAGGATTAAGAGTTCTTGTAACTTAAAAATTGATTACTATAAAAAACCTCAGTGTAAACCCAGAAAAGTACTACAAAATCTCTAAGATTTTGTAGAAAAGAATCTTTAGTCTACAAACATCAAAATGTAATTTTTCATATGTGTAATTTGTTTTATATCAGAACGTGGTGACTGCTGGTATCACACTACAAATGGTTGGCTTTTGATATAAGAACATTTTTTTAATCTAATTGTTTTTTAATTTTTTTCTGTTCATTTTTAACACACTGGCTGTCTATTAATTTTTATGTGACAGATTCATCTTTGGAAAACAGAAATACTTTTATTTAGAGTGAAAACAAAATTGTATAAATTTTTTTATTTGATCATCTAATTTTTACGTTTTAGCAATGTCAATCCTCACCATGTTTGTACTATGAAAAAAAATTTATAAGAAAGGTTAGAGTTTTAACAAAATTTTCAGATTCTACTGCTATTAAGGATACTCCTTTAGATTACACTTAGAAATGTGTACAGGCCACTCATTAGGGCAACTTATCCACATCACATGATGATCAAAGATTTGAAATATACTCTCTGTATTTCAGCATTTAATCTCATTGTTCTTTTCTAATAGAGGAGCTCAATGATTAAATGGAAAAAAATCTAGCTTTCTTTCATGCAATTTGTGTTTACATAAAAAATAGCAAAACGGAAATTTAATACTACAATGTTGTTTAATTTCTCCCAATTACAACATGATTTGTACATCTTCCTACTCCATTGTATACTGAGTGGTACTTTGGGTCACAGTTCCAAGCTCAGTATGGCACAAGACAGATGTGAGAAAACTATGTGTTTACCCAGGAGATCAGAACTAGAACAAACAGAAAAGAGGCAAAGTCACTGTATGAGAGAATGCACTTCTGGGACCACAACACAGATGATGAAAGCATGTAAATAAAGTATATTAAAAGATTTTTAACTGAAAATACACCATCTTTAGTTATTAAAACAGGGAGAGTTCTGCCAAGCAGTTTCCAAATTCTGCCAGTGCTTCTCCATCAAGGCTCTGTCAGATCTTAGCAGACATCCCAGCCCACATCCGTGTGCAGGATCCCTGTCCCAGTGAAGAAGCAAAAGAGTTCATGGGAGGTTTCCTCCTATGCTGTGCTGAGAACAGCATGACGAAAGAAGAGGCAGCCCCCAGCCCAACCACCTCTCAACCCTATGCCACTGGATTTCTCTTGTACTACAGGAATCAATTGATCATTTTGCTGAGGGGAAAACAACCAGAGAAGTAGCCTGCTTTAATAACCTGGATAAACCTTTTCCAAATAGTGGCATAAGCAAAAACTACTCAGAGTAGAATTTTATGAGCAATGAAAACAAATACAAGAAAAGTCTTATTTCTTTACCCTGAATGTTCTTCAATTTATAAGACTAGATCTTTTCCATATATTACACTATGCTATTTAATGAAATAAAAATGGATTCTATTTGTGGCAACATTCTGGAAAATATTCATCCCCAAAAATTAACAGACATTTTTGCTTCCTGTGTAATTTATGAAATGTGCTGTGACCTGCAATCACTTTTTCAGTAGCTCTTGGTGAGATGGCAAAGAGAGCAGACCCTGTCCAGAATCTTAATCTAATCATTAACCACTACTCTGAAGCACCACAGAAAAAGCTGAAAAATCATAAATATGAAAATAAATTAGGCTCAGTGTTTGTTTCCATCACATTAGAAAAGAATTTCCTTGATTAGAAGTATTTTAATTAGCAGTGGTATTTCACATTTGTTGAGGAGCTCTAAAATTGTACAAATTGTTAGTCATTCAAATACAACAAACTCTGTGGAGTTTGAGTAGGTTGTTTAGTAGCAGAATAAACTTCAGTATACCAGAAATGAATTAACAGTAGTTTCATAAGTAACAATCCACATCAACAAGCTGTGAAAGGATTATATGCATCAGCCATTCTCAAAATTCCATCAATACGTAACCTGGAAGTGTCTTAGCAACAGACAATAGGTAAGACTGAGAATCAAGCAGAGGTGATTTTTTTCCAGAAAGGAAGTGGATTTTTACATACTTACATGAACATGATCAAACATTCTATACTTGTTTAGTAAAGCTTCAGAGTGGGATCACAACTACCATGATACAGCTTTGGCTGACAAGAAGACTCGGTTATGCTGAAGTCAGTGCAGCTACAGCAGTATCTGCTGAGAATCTGCTCCTCTCATCGTGCAATCCATGCAAAAAGAGCCTGGGTATTGATGACATCAAGACTAACCCACCTGAACATTTTTGCAAGAAAGAATTAGGGGTTTTCCATGTAATTCTACCTAGTGGAAATAAAATCATCTTGTTGCTGAAGCTCTTCCATGAGCAATGGTAAGACAACTGTGATATTTCTTGCAGGACCAGCCAGAGCACAGATCTGAAAATCTCAGTGTTTGCAAATTACTTCAAGTTCAGGTTTAAAAGAAGATGGTCACAGTTTTTGGCACTACTACCTGCTGTTGAATGTTCTCTACTCAAAAAATTATGGTCTAAAGACAAGAGCACCATACAAAAATAAATAATACAGGATTAAATCCTTTCTTTTTTCCTGGTATTTATGTTCCTTTGAGAGGCTATTTCTAACTCCACACAGTTTGATAATGCTTTTAAAGTAAAAATGAGAAGACCACAATAAAGAAAGTTAGTCCCTCCATTTTGCATAACTATAGCAGCCTGCTGAACAATCTGGTGTGTGACAGAGCACATATCTGATAATTCGGTATTTCTTGATAATTTACACTTTTTGTTCACACAGTTCTTAATGCACATATTTGATACTTTAATGATTTGACAGTTACATTCCCCTGCTTCAACTTCTGAATTTCAATAAAATTTAAGTTGCTAAAGATTTCTCATGTTTAATCCAGAGTATACAATTATTGAAATTTAATTGAAAGTTTTGTTTCTGGCACCAGGATATCCAAAGATATTTACGAGTCACAACCAACTGCTTTGAAGAGACACTTTTTCCAGTCTTCTAACATTATGAATGAAACAGCATAAAAATAATTTCATCTTAGAAAAAGTACTAATAAATCCTTTTCTTGAATAAGAAAACAGAATGAGTCTGTTATATCGAATATCTTATTTGAGAGCTTAGAGAGAGACAAATCTTTATTTATATATGTCAAAAACTGATGGCAAATGTATGACTTTTACCATACCCCAGTCTCAACTTTTGAAAATACAGACTTAGAAAAATCTACTAGGTAATCTAAGCAAATAATTATGGTAATACCTCTTTCATTGTATAAGAGGCCTTTCAAATCTCTCTACATAGAGAAATGAAACTATAACTAGAGTCTTCAGACTGAGTGGATCATTGGAAAAATATAAATACTGGTAGAATCAAATTCATTTTTCAGGGACTGAACTACAACCAAGAACTAACAAATCACTGGTGAGCAGTTCTGATAAATGAAAGGCTGATGACGTCTGGGTCATTCTGTTCTAAAAGACAAATACATCTCACAAATAGGATTCATCAGACTGAGACCGTATATAACAGCAGAGTCCAAGTTTCTAAAAGTTAGACAGAAAATCATAATCACTGTGACATTTTAAACTTCACTGTTCCATCTCTTACCTTCTTATGCATAATCACTTCAAGATACTAAATAAACTGACCTTGTCTGTTAGCAAGAAATATGCTCCAATACCTGCAATGAGCAAATTGACTCTGAATTTTCGCATATGGTTGTAATATCATCTTATTTTCACCCCTTTCACTGTTCAATTTGTCAGCCAAAGTCGAGTCCCTAGTGTGTTAAACATTAGGGAAGCTTATAGTGACACAAAATTTTATTCTAGCAAAGTTGTCTACAAAGTTATGGAATTTTAGAACATGACTTTAAAGTTCATCTCTGCCCTCAGTCTTTTGTCCTTGTCACATATACACACTGGAGATAACTTCAGATTGTAGTGACCAAGACCTTACTGAACAGTGTCTTTGAGAATGCTTTTCCTCCAGAAGGGCACCTTTCTGAAGTCTCCTTGCCCTTATTACAGTTAGGGACTATCAGAGGCCTGTGTCTGAAAATTAATTTTCAAATCACTTGTGAGGCACCCCACCTTTTGTTCTCCTCATTAGTCAAATGATAGAGGTGTACACCCTCTGCTCCATGCCTCCATGAGAATGTAAATGAGTCCATACTTGAAGGTTAATTTGAGTAAAAAGCCTTTTTAATATGTTGCTTAGTCATACCTGACTCTACTTTCTGGTTAAATAGTCAATTGAATTACAGTTCCTATGATTCCTTATTTCCCAGACAATATAACTTGCATTCTAGAAGTTCTCAATGTCTTCATGACAGATAACAAACTTTGTAACCAGAAAATGTTAATTCTGCAAATATATTCAACTCAAGATTTGTGATCTACTCCCAGGTACTTAACGAAGGCAAACACTACATCTCAGTATGTCTCATCTTCAGCAAAACTGTTACATCTCAACTGAGACAACCATAGAGAGTTTTTGAAAGAATCAGTCTTTTATTCTTTACTTGTTAATAAATGAAAAAAAGCTCAACTAAAACCAAAAACTTCTCCAAGGAAAGTAAAGTAATGCTTGTTTATCACCATGAAACTGCAAACCATAAAGGAAGTTCTGGCAATGACTCTTATCATGATATGCTTGCTAGAAAAAGGTTGGAATTAAAATCCAATACAGTGATTAAAAACATTCAAGTTTTCCTGGTCCCAAGTTCAACATAACTTAGAGGCAATTTTATATATTTTATGTTTCTCACAATTAGTGAAATCTGCTGAAACTGTTCAAAGACATTTATGGGTGTTCCAGCAGACAGAGTGGATATTCCAGCAGTATATTTTTTGGTTTTTTCCCCTTAAGAATCTAGACAAAGAACCAAATCAAACCAACAAACCAACCACACAACCCATCAAAACAAAAACTCTGTAAAAAGGCACACATTATATACTGCCACCAAGAACGGATTCCAGTAGAACACAAGTCAGATTTCCAGCCTAATGCATTGCACAATATTTTCGACAGCACCTGCTGGCTTAGTCATCCAGTGCACTCCTGCTTAGCTAAGAGGAAAAAGACATTTTGAGTAAGCAGTCAGATTTGCAGTGCCTGAACTACACAAACAGAAATTACCTTTACCTTACATTCCTTATTTCATTATAGAAGATGTGTATAGATCGAAACTTGCTGACTAGTTTTTAATTCTGCTTTGTGAAGCAGAAATTGCCACTCTATTCCTTTGCCTCTTCAAATTAATCCATTCTCTGGTTGCATTTCTCAACCTCCATATATTAAGATCTACAGTAAAAAACAAAACAAAACAAAACAAACCAAAACAAACCCAACAAACCCTCAAAAAAACAAAGAAAAAAGAGTTATATTCTTATATATCTTTCTTTACTGGAGGAATTCAAGTGTGTGTATATTTACATTTAGAGACATTTTGAGTTTTATTCCATTTTTTTCTTTTCCAATATGCTAAAGGAAGCATAGTCTAAAGCCGAGACAAGGATTATTGACTTTATGTAACTGTTACTCTTAAAATTTCCAGTATTATTCAGAAAAGTGAGTTTCTACCTACCACTGAGTTTCATCCACGCAGCTGTGGAGAACTCAGCTCCAGTACCTCACAGCTGAACTGCGAGGCCAGTTCCAGTAAGAACTGGCATACTGAGCTACATTGATAGAGGCTTTGTAAGTGTAATAAATCACTCTGTCAAATTCTTTCCACAGACACTCGCCTCTCTGAAGGTTTGAAATACAGTTCTGTATACAGTCACACAAGAAATCCCTCATATGTGGCAGAAGTAATGACAGTATCATCATGTAATCTAGCTAACAAGAGTTAAAGAGATTTAAAGCACTACATTACAGTTTAGCAGATTATATGTCTGACAGCATTTAGCTAAGACATCTGTAGCTGTCAAGTGTAATCACTGTAATGAATGTTCTGTAATCTAAGAGACAACTATTCAGCAAATTTTTTAACATCTGGCTACTCAGCGACTTTTCAACTAAAGAGGTCAAAACTTACTATTTTTAGAAAGAGCTGTAATTCAGAGACTCTTTTCCTACTTCTACTTTTGCAATATACATTCCTGTAATATTTTAACCCTCAAAATCTGCAGGAAGCATATTCATAATTACTTAAAACTGCACTGAAATCCAACACCCCTGCAATGAGCAAGGACATCCTCAACTAGATCAGGTTGCTCAGAGCCCCATTCAACGTGACCTTTAATGGTTACAGGGATGGTGCATCCACCACCTCTCTGGGCAATCCTCATAATAAAAAATTTCTTTCTTATATATTTCTCCTCTTTTACTTTAAAACAATCACCCCTTGTCCTGTAGCTACAAGCCCTATTAAAAAATCTGTCCCCATCTTTCTTATAAGATCCTCTTTATTATGCAAGGCTGCTCCCTGGAGCCTTATCTTTTCCAGACTAAAGAACCCAAACTCTCTCAGCCTTTCCTCAAAGGACAGATGCTCCAGCCCTCTGATGACTTTTGTGGTCCTCTTCTGGACTGGCTCCAGCAGGTCCATGTCTTTCCTGTACTGAGGATCCCAGAGCTGGATGGAGTACTCCAGGCGGGATTTCACCAGAGTGGAGTAGAGAGGAGGAATCCCCTCCCTCGACCTGCTGGCCACACTGCTTTGGATGCAGCCCAGGACACAATTGGCTTTCTGGATGCAAGTGCACATTGTCAGCTCATGTCCAGTTTTCCATGCACAAGTATCCCCAAGTACTTCTCAGGGCTTCTCTCAATCCCTTCTTTCCCCAGCCTTTATTTACACCAGGGGTTGCCCTGACCCAGATGCAGCACCTTGTATTTGGTCTTGTCCAGCCTCATGACATTCGCATGGGCCCACTTCTCAAGCTTGTCCAGGTCCCTCTGGATGGCATCCTGTCCTTCAGGTCTGTCAACTGCAACCCCCAGCTTGGTGTCACTGGCAAACCTGCTGAGGGTGCACTTGGTTCCACTGTCTATGTCACTGACCCCTGAGGGACACCACTTATCACTGATCTCCCTCCAGACACTGAGTCATTGCCTACTCCCCTCTAGATGCAACCATGCTACCAATTCCTCATCCACTGAAGCAGTCCATCCATCAAAGCCATCTCTCTCCAATTCAGAGAGAAGGATGTTGTGGGGGACTGTGTCAAAGGCTTTACAGAAGTCCAAATAGGTGACATCCATAGCCCTTCCCTTGTCCACTGATGTGGTCACTCCATCATAGAAGGCCCTCAGTTAGTCAGGCAGGACTTGCCCTTGGGGAAGCTGTGCTGGCTGTCCTGAATCAGCCCCCTGTCCTCCACATGCCTTAACACAGCTTCTAGGAGGATCTGTTCTATGATCTTCCCAAAGTAGAAATTTCAAAGGTGAGGCTGACAGGTAACTAGTCCCTAGTGTCCTCTTTTTTTCCTCCCTTTTTTAAAAATGGGTGCAATCTTTCCATTTTTTCCAGTCACCAGGGACTTCCCCTGACCGTCATGACTTCACAAATATAATGGAGAGAAAGAATCCACTATTTAGATTGGACCTCCTAAAAATTTTTTAAATACTCAGTAATCAAGATGATGCACTGTTGTGATGACTGCTGACTAAAGACAGGGTGCAGTCCTTGTGGCTCTTTAGTTACCTCAATAAATTCTTACAGTTGCCCTATCTTCTCATGATGCAGGTTATTAAAGAAAAGAAGTTAATGACTGATTTTTATTAGAAATAACAAGCAGTGTTAATTACAACTGATGCTTGCAGAACCATTTTTTTTACTATCTGCTTAGTCTTTTTGTCAACATTCACCACAATGAAATCAAACAAGGAAACAAGTGCAACACTTCAAATACAAACAGAGAAACAGCTTATCAAACTCTTTTGTTATCTTATTCTGATATAAATACCACTGGCTACAGCAAGAGTAAAAGGAAGGATTAAAAGAGATATCATAGTATTTTTACTTAGGCCAGGTGTCCATCAACCCTAGTGTCCATCTACATTAATACTTGCTAAGGGTAAAACCAAAAAATCCTGCATCATGGATACTTGCTTCTGGCAGTCACTAACTGGAAGATTTCAAGAGCTGGAGTTTACATCACATTTAAACAGGATGGATCTATGTTATAAACCCTTGCAGAATTGCCTTCAGAACCTATTTACTTGCACAGTAGCTCAAACTGCGTATCAGTGAGAAAATACATTCATGACAGAGGTTCGAAATCATTGCTTTCTAAAAGGTTTTCAGACTTGGGTTCCATAGCAAGGAGCTCTGCAGAGCCCATTCTCAGTAGGTGATTTAGTTTTAGTATATACCAGTTAATAATCTGAATGAGCTGATGGTACAAAACTGATGGGCAGAAATAAGTGCTTTTTTGGCTCTGCTATTGGAGGAGATCACTTTATAAACAGCACCAGACAGGCTATTAGTCTAAAGCTTATAGAAATAGTTTTACTCTACACAAATCAATGTTTTCCTATTTTCAGCAATAACATAATAAGAAGCACATTTTCTGGCATGTGAATAACACACTGACAAAAATAAAACAAATATGGAAGAAAAAAAGGAATTACCTTCTTGCATTTTTTTGCAGTGTATTGCAGTCAGAATGTTTAATTGAAGCTGAAAGTTTTTGCTTAGCCAGGATTATTTCTTTAGCCTGAAATAAAAACAGACAAAAAAATAATTCTCATAAAAGTTGACACTTTGATCACAAGCATTTAAATACTCTCAAAAATAGAAAATTGAGAGTGTCTGCATAAAATTTCTCTTGTGACATTTATTCTTTCTGATAGATTTTAACACTAGTCACTCAGCATGAAGCACAGACATAAGGCAAATTTAACCAAATTATCTGAATGAAATCATAGTCAAACATTTATAAAAGTGTATATATATATATATGATATTATTTAAATATACACATCTATTCATATTTAAATATATGCTGTCTTGTTTAGTACCATGTTAATAATGCATATTACTTATTTTTTCCATAGCTAACTAATTGATTCATGATATGCCTCTCACTTACATTTCAGTTCTGGTGTCCATGTGCTTGTTGTTCAGACATTTTTATTATAGACTCGGCTACAGTTGGACTTCTCCTCACTCTTTATAAAAATTACAAGTGACCACAAACTCCCTCAGCGTCTTTGCTAAAACAGAATCTTAAGTTCAAAGTCCAAGTGAATTCCCCTTCTCAAAGAAAACATGTCTGCCATCATTTTTTGGAAGATGTGTTATCTCATTGCAAAGGAGTCTTATTCCCTTCTTAACAACATCATGGGAGAGGGATCCCTTAAGCATTTGAAAGGAAGAAGAAGACCAGGAAGCATACCAAATAGTGCATTTTATTGACTATTTCATAGTGTAGTTGATTTGAGAGCAGTCTGTTCCAGAAGCTCTGCGAATTTAGAGTCTCCATTTTAACGTCCCCAAGAAATAAAACAAAACCTGTAGCTTCTGTCATTTGTTTCCAGAATTCAGTGTGAAGGGGCTGATGCCCTTTCATTCCCTATATGCTCTGGTGAAGCAAAGTCTGTTTCTTTGTACCCTCTTTTCTCAGGAGGCCCTCAAGTGTTCTGTTCTGTTAAAACAATTTATTCCACTGATCCCCTTGAGACTCGTGTTCCTTACTTTGCCTTCAGAGCATCATCAAGGATGGTAAAGAAATGTGCTGGTTCTGGACTCAACAGAAGATAGTTCCTTGACAAGAACTGATCTTGCAACTTAGGTAAGGGTTATTAGGATTTGCCTACTAGGCCTCTAGTGGTCTAGTGGTTAGGGTGCAGGACTCTCACCGCTGCGACCCGGGTTCGATTCCCAGCCCCCCGGGCAGATGGAGCTCGTCAACCCTGTAAGGCAATCCATCTAAGAGAAGGTCACTCTAAACAAACCTACGTTCTGAGACCCTCACTGCCACTGTCCAAGCTTGCTCGGCCCCGGCAGATGAACCTCAGGATTAAAGGGTGGGCTCAGTTCAGCGCACGCTGTGTCTCACCTAAAAAATCCACTGCGCAGGCTCGAAGGGTTAATGACCTTTCCCAAATCTTCGCTCGCGAAGACTGGCCATTATTACTAGAACATCTATCAATTATCAAATATTGCTTGACATAAAAGTTCTTCTGCTCAAAAGATGTCCTCCTACCTCTGTTCAGTTAAAAAAAATACAAACAAACAAACCAAAAACTAAGGAACACTTTGTAATTTTAGTTCTTTCTGAAAAAATGGTATGTGAGCTTCACCACGTCAGTAACTGACTGTCCACCTCTTAGTGACAGTGATCACTGAGGAAAACTGCTCTGAAAAACAGAACTGCCATAGCTTCAATTGTGGCCAAAGGTAAGACTTTGGGCTCAGTACAGAGGTAACTGTGTCAAATTTAAAGTCTGTGGTATGCAGGAAGATGGACTAAATTAATATGATGAAGCTTTCTGGAAGTTATTCTGTGAAACTATTTCTAATATTTACATTAATTAGAAAACAGAAACAACACCATTTTAAAGATCATTATCAGAGAGTGCTAGACATAGGTGTGTTAAACAGAATCTGGAGTATAGTTGAGAAACCAGTAGAAATAAGTGAAAACCATATTTTTATTCATATTTTCAGTTCACATTTTTTTCCTGCAGTACTTTCTTCTTCTACAATGGGAATTCCATTGAGTAACAGAGTTTCACTGAAACATATTTATTCTGAAGGATTATTAGATTTCCAGGGCTCCACAGTTGTATGTCTCCACATGCCTTTGATGGTAATGAAATATTACTGCATTTACCATACCTAGGTAAGTGAGAATTATATAATGTAATTCTATCAAATAACACTGACATGCATAATATATACCACTTCTATTTTTAGATTAATTAAGGAATTTAACTCTCACTGATCTTTACATTTCTAAATGCTTTTGAAGGCCCAGGCAATAAAAAGCTGTCAGAATTCATTTGTGATCAAAAGTTCAAATTTTTCTCTCTGATTCACTTACATAAGAAAAGGAAAGTTTTAAAACATGACACAGAATGTCTCAGAACCCTAAATTAAACCTGCTTGCTAATAATATTGGGTTTTGATGCTTTTTCTCAGACATTAATTAAAATGCCACTGGTGTAATCCATGATGACATTTTATAAAATCATATACGCCAATTTTGGTCAAAGTCTTTTAAAGAAACTCTCAGGTTTTAATTTTCCTGCATCATCTGCAAAGATGATGCTGCCAGGAACAGATGTTCAAGATTTGAAAAGCTTCAAGTCACAAATATTTTTCCCAGAATATGAAGCACGTACAACGTAGTCATGCAAAATCTCTGTACAGATGATTATTACAGCACAAACACTACACTTTAAAAGTGTCACTGTATCATTTCACTGAACCTTGTGTCCTTCAGGTTCTTTTGATGACCTTCCAAAAAAATGTCAATAGACACTGCCTTAGAAAGGCACCCATTCTGTGGGATTTGATGTGTAGTAAACAGCACAGTTAAAAAAAATGTTCCCAGAAAAGAAGGTGAAAATTATTTGCTTTCTTCTGCTTCATGTGGAATTTACTATCTCCAGCACCTGTGGTGTGGCAAGGTCATTGGAGAGGCAAGGAAAGAGGTTTTGTTTTTCTTCTTAAAGTCTTGAGAACTATGAACAGGTTGGAAGATGAATGGTGCAAGGTTTAGTAACTTGATTAGAAACTCACTAAAGGAAGTGAAAAAACACTCACAATTCAGTTAGATTTCTGTTCTGTTACTGAGAAGAGTGAGATATTTTTAGGATACTATGGCAAGCAGCATGTTATAGGACACTATTTTTAGGTCAGTGGCATTTTTTAATATTTCAGTTACCTAAGGAATGTGCTAAGCCATTTATCTAGTTGCAAATAATTTTATTTTGATAATTTTTTATCAGGAACAAAAATATTAAATGTAGTGCAATATAGTCACTAGGCTTGTCTTATTGATACAGCCTGAAAGAACTTGCATGAACTCTGGTCTTCCAATTATCTTACTAAAAGGAACTCACATTAAGTTGGTGATCTCAAATTAGTATTCTCAAGCATTGTTGATAAAATCAGCCATAATATTCTGCAAGAAAAATACCTATTGGTCTTCCAGTTGTTAATCATTATTCATTATACCTTGCTTCCTAGATTACATCCTATTAATAATAACAACAATAACGTTTTTATGGATAGAAAGCATCTGAAAAGTATATGTATGCCAAAAATTTAACCTGAGAACTGTAATTCAGTCCTGGTGGAAGAGAACAGACTCTGTGACTACAATATAGAAAAAAGAACAATAGGTTGGTATTACATGCAATTGTTTGTGAAGTAACACAAATCCATCTTTTGTCAGCAAATCCACAAAGTTCACAGGATCGCAGAATGGTTGAGATTGGCAGGGACCTGTGGATGTCAATTTGCCCAACCCTCCTGCTCAAGCAGGGCCACCTAGAGCCAGTTGCCCAGGACCATGTCCAGATGGAGTATCTCCAGGGCTAGAGAATTCCCAGCCTCCCCAGGTGACCTGTGCAGGCACTCGGTCACCCTCACAGTAAGAAATTGTCTCCTGATGTTCAGAGGGAAGTGCCCACTGTCTCTGGTCCTGTCACTGGCATCATCGTAAAGAGCCTGGCTGTGCCTCTTTGCACCCTTCCTTCAGGTGTTTACATGTATTGATAAGATGCCCTTGAGCCTTCTCTTCTCCAGGCTGAACAGTCCCAACTCCCTCAACCTTTCCTCTAGGAGAGGTGCTCCAGTTCCTTAATCATTTTCATGGCCCTTTGCTAGATTCTCTCCAGCATGTCCATGTCTCTCTTGCACTGGGGAGCCCAGCACTGGACACAGTTCTCCATGTGTACCTCAGCAATGCCAAACACAGGGGAAGGATTGCCTCCCTCAACCTGCTGACAACACTCCTAATGCAGCTCAGGATACAACTGGTCTTCTTTGACAGAAGAGGACATTGCTGACTCATGTTCAATTTCATGGCAACAAAGACTCCCCAGTGCTTTTCTGCAAAGCTGCTTTCCAGGATCCAAGTGTTTGGATCCAATGACAACAAAGACATTAGACCATGCGGCACTCCGAACATGCATCTCTTGCTGTGTCCAAGCTACTCAAGTAGTTTTTAACCAAACCAAGGCAAAGCTGAGAACATTGACCCAGTTATTCCATAGTACTTCTCTTTCCTCATGTCTTACAGATACCTGAGAATCAGGTCCTCTGAGACGAAGCACACTCCAGACTCTCAGGCTAGGTAAAAAACTTAGGTGTAGCAAAATATTAAGGCAGGTTATATATAAAGTTAATAATGGAATAAAGGCAGTTCTCAATCACAGTACAAAGAGCTAATATTAATTTTGCTGATTTAGGTATGACTTGCTAGGCAGGCAGCAGAGTTGAATATATATCCAAAGACTCTCTGAAATATTTACATTTTCTAAGGCACTGATCATCCACAAAGAACTAGCAAGATGGATGAGTAATAAAAGTAGGGTATGGGATAGAAAGCTGATAGCACTTAAAATATGCAAACAACAAGTAAGTAGTAAACAAGACTGTTCATATACATTTGAAAATGACATTATCCAAAATGGCAAATGTCAAGGCCTCATTTTCAAATAAATTTATGAAAGCATAAATTCTCATATGAGTAAATTTTGAACATTAACAAAACATGGACCTTAACCAAATGAGTTCAATTTTCAGTATTCTTTAAGCTCTTGGTAAAACTGCACACTTGATGCTAGAGTGAAAGTTTGTGATTTAATGAGAGGCTCTCCTCAAAGGGACAAACAGACGTATGGGACTGGATAATGGAAGGAAATATAGAAGGTAAGAACCACAAATGGACAAAGCCAAAAATGAAAAATAACTTTTTAGTTAGAACTACTAGCTGCATAGTCTTAAAATTAAATCAGAGCACAAAGAGAAAGAACTGACCCCAAACAACAGCTGAAGCTATTTCAGCTAAATAGTTTCTTCCTTCAGAAGAAAATGCTGTAATTGATATATTCTGGTAGACTCACATGTAGCTCCATGTACCTCTTCTCTTACACAGCAAAGAAACTCCCTAAAGGCCAGAAGGGTAAGGCTAGAACACCAAAAGGTTTATTTTTTACTGTAACTATCCTTGGGCAGGGTTACCCTACTCTGAAAACTGAAAGTATGTGATGTAGTCCTAAAGGTCTTAAAAGCAGCCCAACCTTCCCAAGGCATAATAGCAGAAGAACACTTGATTAACCTCTCCCTCAACTTCCAGGACCCCATCACAGAATTCATTCTCATCTCTGGAACTCTACCTCCCTAAAACTTCCAGCTCTCTCTCTGCTCCAAGTAGTTTCAATTGAAATACTGAATTGCTACAACCTTCTTGCTCTATGACTACAACACTTTGTACAACTACTCAGTGGATCCTTTCCAACCAGGGAGAACGTGAAGGAGAAATGAATTAAACAGCTCTTGTTCCAAACATGAGACATGACAGGAGTGTCTCTATTTGCACAACAATGTAACCTTCATACATATGTGTGCCACACAGATTTTGAAAAACTGAATTGTTTTTATTGTTTCACAAGTGGAAAAAGAAAGTAGGTATGTTGCTTATTTTCATTATTTCAAAAAAAATTATCTTCTTACACATTTGCATAATACTGCATGTTTTGCAGAGTCTCTTTTAGCACATAAAAAGCTGGGTTTGTTTAAAATAAAGGAAATACAAACAGTTCTATTAATACTGATTTTCATAATGTTCCTTTAAAGGGATTATAAATACTAAGGTTTGGCTCTCTGATTATATTGTCCTTATGCAATGTTCCTTTTTTGGAAAATATGCCCCGATGGGAAGGGCTAGCCTGTATATCTTTATCAAGCCAGATGTTACCTGTAACTCAGAAATATTCCCAAAGTACTCACAACATTTAAGGATCTTCTTGTGATGCCTCCTCAGACTACTTTACATACCTTTGGCATGGTGACAACCAAATGACCAGTTGTTTGTGATCTTTTAGCAGAGCTGCTGTCTGGCTTCACTTCCTCAGGGAGGACAAACTGAAATGGCTATGAGAAAATACGGGATTGAAGTACATCATGCTAACTTTTTTTCTTTCTTTGATACGGACAGAACACATGTTAAAATATCACTCTCACATCCTTTGATTTTAAGGCCAGTATAGGTCTAAATCCTCTCACTTTATATAATCCTAATAAATTATTAGCATGCTAACCAGCTTTTACTTATAAGTATAGTCAGATGTATATTCCTGAATTGCTGCCATTCCTGAAGTGACATTTCTAAAGAAGGTTATAAAATGATGCTTGACTTACATTAGCAATTAAATGAGAAAGATTATCCAGTCTATTTTGGATGTAAAGCAATTCTGAAATTTTGTTTATTCAGTTGGTACAGTCAAAAATAGGGATTTTGGTTTACTGTGAAAGTACTTTGAATTTTTAAAAAAACTGATGACAAAATTAAAACCACTGAGAAGAGAGAAAACTGGAATGACATTTTAAATGCCCTTTCAGAAGAGTATACATCCATTGGTTTCTGTCAGCTATAAATTCCAGATTGTGAAATTGCTAAATTCTAGCCTAGGGCAACTGGGAAGCTCTCTTCTAAAGTGAATTATGGTACACTGTGTGGGGGGAATAAGAAGAGAGAAGGAGAGAAAGACAGTGAAATTTCTATTGCAGGCTTTGCAAGTCTTCTGGTTAGGATGTCCACAGTATATATGTGGTCCAAAATAAAGCAGGTATTTAAAGAACATTCTTTCTGCATAGATACAATTGGGAACTCATACGAATCAAATCCAAAGTCCACTGAACAACTATGGTAAACATTAACTCCTGGTTGGAAATGAATGTAGTAAGAAAACACCAACCTTTTCCTTCACCAGTACTCGTATGTAAGTTGGCTGCACGTCAACATCAAGCAGAGAAGTGTCCAAATATCTTCAGAATTAAATATAAATACATGAATCAATCTATAGTAGACTATATACCTCTTTTGTGATGATTTCACAGTTTATAAAGTACAAACTTAAATTTCAGTTATTAAGTTGTATTATTAGAATTTAAAGTCTTTGAAAGAAAAACACAATCTTCTTGTGAATGTCCATTAAAATAACGTCTAAATTCTGTGAAGTCCATCCCATTAGCTATTGTATAACTGCAAGAATTCAAAACCTTTGTGGAGAACAAAAAGGTTTTTCATCTATTACTGTAGTGCTTTACATTAATAAGAAAAGTAATCTATGTTCTATTTAAAATTGCAAAATTGTTTTCCTACTTTTCTTTCTGAAGGCTTTACTAGTAAATTTATAATAGGACTTCTCTTTTTTGCATAGAATTTGCTGGAAAATAATGAACAGAAATACTTTACGTTCCCAAAAAACACAACACTTTTAAATTTCAGTACTGTCAAACAAAATTTATGACCTGTAAAAACCCCACTTTAACATCTGCTCTTCATCATGTGACACCTGATGCGAGTCATGTGAATGTACAAGTATGTATTCCCCATTTCCCTTCTTTAATAACATTACTTCTCAGGTGAATTTTTCAGATTATTTAGTCTGCATTTCTTACAAGTGAGCACAGAACATTACAATATGCACTGCCATGGAGGTGGTGCAGTCACTATCCCTGGAGGTGTTCAAGAAATGACTGGACATGGCATTCAGTGCCATGGTTTAGTTGACAAGGTGATGATGGGTCAAAGGTTGGATTCTATGATCTTAGAGGTCTTTTTCAACCTAAATGATTCTGTGATTCTGTAATACATCAAACAATTTATTGCACCTGAACAGATTTTCTGAGGTTCCAAAAAGCCTGTATCTTATAATTCAGAAACATGGAGCAGGCCTCTTCTGAGGGAAATTAATGAGCTTTAAGGGAAGAACACCTGGCAAGAACAGTATTTCCGTGCTGTAAAACTAGTTCCAGCTTTATTCTAACAAGTTCCTATTATGGGTAGATAAACTTGTGGGTTTCCAGCCTCTTCCTGAAGAATGGAAAAGGTCATTGTACTGCTTAGAAGTATACATACTACCAAATAGTTATCAGTTCTCTTCATGATACTTTGCCTGGTTCAACCAAATTTATTCCAGGCAATGCCCTGGTATAGTTCATGAATTAGCCATGGACTCTTTCCAGTAAGCAAGGCAAGTAGGACAAGGCTACCCTGCTCTTTTTCAGGGAGGAGAAGAATTTAAGTATAAGGATGTGCATTGTACTGGAGCACTTCTAGGGCCAAAAAATGAGCAAAAAACCCACTCCCTACAACCCTGATCTGCAAATGAAGAACGGAAAAGATTTTATGTAAGTATAAAACGACAGGCATGGAGGAGACCTGCCTGTGGACTGCAGAAAACATCACTTCCCAAAAGGACACAGTCCTCATTCAGGAGTAACAGAATAGCCTGAAGGGTCTTTAGCTTATTTGGCTTCACTTCTGTGGCACAGGCTTCAAGATTTATTGCATCACCCCTTTGGTTTTTGTTTTCCTCTTGAAAAGGCCCCAGTACAGGGAGGAGTATAATTGAAACACCGTGTATTAGATCTTACGAATGGCAAAAATTAAGAGGAAAAAAAAGAAATCTGACCTGTAAACAGCAAGTTCCAAGATGAACTGGTTGTTTTCTTCATCATCTTTCAAAGAGAAATGAAGCCTAATAACAATGATAAGAAACACTTCCAGTATAAATACAACTGCAGTGAATAAGCAAACATTACAGCACACTTCAACTGCTAGCACTTTTGGATGAATACAAATACCATTTAGACAATATGTCATGTGATCATTTTAGAAACGGTTGCAACTTGCCTCATGAACAGAAAAAAATACTGGCATTTGAACCGAAGTAATTCTTACATTTATTTTCTGTTCTTCCCACTCAATCCACAAGAAAATGAAAAAAAACCCCACTGCTGAAGGTCAGTTAAAATTAAGCTCATTCTGTCAATGCAGAACGAGAGACATCTGCTGGTGAAACCTGCCTGCTCTGTTACATCTTCATAGAAAAAAATCAGATATAAAATGCATGAAAAGCACAGAACTTGGCAATTCTAACATTATGGTACGTTAAAAAAAATCAATTTTGTTCATAGCAATTAATTTGTCTAGATATCAGTCTGTGCATTTCCAAAGTAAAACATGATTTGCATAATATCCTCAGTTCTATAATCTTCACATTTGTTGAAAATGAGCCTGTAGATTGTATTATCTGCATGTTTGTGATCTGCTGGCTTAAAATTATAAACAAATCTTACCAGTTATAAATTGAAAACATCACCTATTGCTACAATCTAAGGAGATCTAGTCTAGACTTACAAGTTCTGCTCACATGCTCAGAAGTTTCCCATGTATTAAAGTAGAGAAAAAAACAGAATAAAATCACCTATGAGAATATTTTTATAAATTAGTTATTAGTATAAAATGAGAGGTGTTTGCTTGAAGTAATTTATCTGGACTATTTCATTGACATTAAAATACTTAGATACATTGGATTCACATAACGGAAAGATGCTCAAATGTTAACAGATAAAAGAGTAAATTTTTTCAGCATTAAAAATATTTGCCAGATATACTTTTTACTCTTTTCTCTCCTATATTCTGATACAGTCAATTTGCAAGAAAGTTTATGGAATAGTAGTTTATGTGTCTTTTTAATGGGAAAGTGCAATGAATACAAAACAGCTTCTTTCTCTTACTGCATTACTGGTTTTGAGAATTCACTAACACATAAAGGGTGAACAAGAGGACAGAACTGTAAAATTTTCTAGGAGGAAGCTTAATCAGAACTGAAGAAGAGAAATAGTCTGTCCTCAGTAGAATGCAGCCATTTCTCTTCCTAACCTTCCAAAAGAATGGCAGAGAAACCTGGACACTCTTATGGACATTAGACTTCCACACTGAAGCAAAAACTTTGGAGAATACCATCTGCTTACTCGTATCTCTCTCTTTATGCCTCTCCAGTTCACTGCCAGATTGTACTGAGGAGCTGTGATGTTCTTGCTGAAGCCATGAAAAAAAATGCTCATTGGTCTGGCTTTACGTGGGCACATCCACAGACTAAATTCTAATCCAGAAAATTTGGGTGACACAAACAGGTCTGCTACTAACAGTAAACCCTGTATTTTTTCTAAAAAGACAGCTAGGGCTTTAGTCTACATATCTCCGCTTTTTAAAGACATAATCAGCTTCTATTAGCACAAGATTTAAATTATTTTAGGCTTGTCTTCTCTGGACTAGAAATTTATATATATTTTTACTGAATATTGTGTACTACCTATAATGTAGGTTTTCAAATTCTTTTCATTTGCATGGATTTATAAATTTCCAAGATTTGGAAAGCAGGACAAGTGTTTTCACAGCTTTGGTTTTGCAGCTATTTAAGTCTTAAGATGGAAAAACTTCTTCAGAGCACAGCAGACAGGTAAGTGGCCACTTTCTGATGCCAGTCTCTTATAGGAGGCTCTTTAGGGAGCTGTTTATAAAGGAACATTTGTGCTCTCAGTCTCATCCTTTCCCTTAGAAATGAAGGTTTGGTTCAAGTGAAACTAATGACAACACGTGGCTGATATCCCTGGAAACTCATTCCAAAACACTCGAATACCCAGGTACAACAGAGGCTGATAGAACATCAGCCTCTGTTGCTATAGACTTCATTCAGTGTCAAAGGGCCTCATGCCACAGAAGCTGATAAGATATCCTTCCCAATTCTGCCAATTTTACATTTGTCATCAGAGGACAAAATGATTTCGTCCAGAAATATTACATGGATGTTTTTTCCACATTTAAAGCGGGTGCTCATACACATTTACCTTTAATAGTCAAACCAGTTAAACTTTTTCCACTATTAACAAGATGCTCCAAGAAAGAGCCTTACCATAGAAGGGTAAAGACTAAAATATATCTTTTACAGAAAAACAAGTTGTTTAATCATTTAAGACTAAGATGTTAAATTAAACCATCTTCAACACTTTACTCACTGAAAACTGATTCTTTTTCCAGCATCAGAGTACAAAGAAGACAGTTTTCCCAAAAGGAATATAATACTCCAACAAGAATTTCTCATCTCTCTTACTTTTGTATTGTCACACATGTTGAACTAGTTTCCCAAATCAGCTATAGAGAGATTAGACTGTTTAACCTCTTAACCTTACATACTTAGGCACATTCACATTCAGAACTTTTCCTTCTGCAGTGACCAATGTCCAAGGAGGCTTCTCACTCTTTTTTGATTCCCTTAACAAAACAGAAACAAAAACGGTTTATGGTTAACAGTTAAAATTTTGCTATTATTATGTTTAATAGCAAAAAAAGAGCATGGTAAGAAGTAAGAATTATCTGGTATTTGATGTTCAGGCTATAACTTATTTCAGGAACAAAACAGATTATATCACATTTCCAACTGCACATTAAAAACATTGGCTAAAGATGAGCAAATGCTTTGTAATATCACATCTTACATGGATAACAACTTCTTTTGCATGTCACAATATCCACTATCAAACAGTAATATATCAAATTATCTAGTATACCATAAGAAAACAGTGGATTGCTTAAACATCTGAAAATTCTAGTTATGAATGGTCAAACTAATCATGAAGTGTTGTTGCTGCTAACTGGTTTGATGTACGTTTAAGCAAGTCTAAAGAAGTTTTATTTATGCTCACTTAATTACTGCTACTGAACAAATGCTTGGCCTATCTCCAAACAGCATCAGTCTCTCAGTCACTCCTGCACTAGTAAAAAGAATTTTAATGGTCAAAAGATTACAAGCAGCACCAAATATGATACAGTAGGGCCCAAGTGCAGACATATACATTATTTGTTGATGTATTTATTACATTTTTTGCTGTGTTCTTCCTTGAAAAAATACAATACATATTCCTGATGTATTGATGATGTACTTATTAATATTCACTATCCATTTCCAGCTATCAGCAATCAAACTATGGCTGACTTTCAATTAGTGCAATAAATAAGCTACCTTAAATTTATCTGCCCAAACAAAGCAGATCACAGTAAAATCATTAAGACTTGTAGTACTGGTATTTTCCTGTTTAAATGTTTAGCAAGGAAAGGAAGAGTAAGGAATCTTATAACATGAAAAAGAAAAACCTTGCTTGCATGTAGGTAAAAATGTGGCTGTTAAAAATACAGCACTGCAATTGTCATGTTGTATTAATCTACTCTTCAGCTGGTCAATATAGTGGGTATGCTTACTTCAGCCAGCATATTAAAAAAAAATATTTCTCAAAAAAACTCAACAGTAATGCATTGGGTTTTTTTTGCTCCTGAACCAATTTCTTACTATGAGTCCAAGGTTAAGAGAATATTAAATGTAAATAACTAATGAGGGATATAAATTATACTTAAGATTTAGAGCCCCTTGGGGGGAAAAAACATAAAAATAGATTTGGTCTATAAATACAATGGATTTGAGGAAGAAATAAAACCACTCAAGTACAGCTACTAGAATGACTATATAAAACCAATTTCTGTTTAAGAAAGATTCACAGTTATCCATGTGTTAAATACTATTCTACAATATAAATCAGAGTTCTCATGTGGGATTTGTGGGCTAACAGTTTCTATACCTGAATTTCAACTCTTGACTTGAAACAAAAGTGAACGAACCACCACCCTGCTCAAAAGATATGTTCATGTCAATTTTATACAAAAATACACATCCTTTTATACTGAGTAACTTATATGAAAGTTGTATTTCAGCCCCTGTCTACCAGAGGATTTCAAGTTGTCAGGGCCACTTTTCTGTTCTAACCTTTCTCATGCTACCTAACACAAACATCAACACTAAACCAAAACGAACCCCAAAAGGATATTTAACTCCTTCAAATGCTCTCAAAATTTAGAAAAATCCCAAAAATAATTATTCTATCTTTAATATAACACTATTTGGACTCTCCTTGAATCCTTACAGGGAAGCATTTGGAACACATTTGCTTTTGAGTAGAGCAAGGCACTTCTAAACATAGCAAAATTCTAACTGGGTAGGATCTGGATTCACAGTAGTTCTTCCAGGAAAGAGTTAGACCTTGAATTAATAATAGCAACAAGTTATGCACACTTCCAGATTTCCTGGAGAGTTCCCTAGGACTGACTTTTTCAACACTTAGGCTTGATAAAACTTCCAAAAAGCATGCCCTTAAAAAGAAGAGCTAAAAAAATCTCTGGTACAAATTATGTTATATAAGTAAAGAAAAAAAAAAGACATTGCTTACAATGTTTGTGGAACTGATAAGCCAGTAGCTGTAAAATACTGTGGCTTTTTGCTAGTATCTGCACGAATTTTCCATGTTCAGCAAAAACAGTGACAACTTTAGAAGGTTTTAAAGGCTTGTCAGGGGCCAGACTTCTTCAGATTCACCATGCCAAGTAGCCCAGATAACATGAAGAATCCTATTACTTGTGACAAATATCTTTTCTAAAGTATGCAAAAAAAATCCTCAGTTACACAGAAAAAGTTCCTGAAATGCCACCTGTGCAAAAATTTTGTAGCATGACCTTATGGCATTTATATAATGCAATCTGCATGAATGCTTTTAGCAGAATATTAAATGTAGAACTACACAAAACAAATTAGTTAGCTGACAGAAAAGTGAAACTTCTAAACTCCATAAAATGGAGTTGAAAAGAGAAATTACATTTAAAAACCCTATTTGAGGAAAAATAAAGAGTACCATAAATGAGGTTCAGAAAATGAAACAAAGCAAAATGAACAATTTGAATATTTAATTTATATTTTTATAAGCCTATTTTCACAGGCAACAGGGATTTAAGCTGCCAGTTCTCTGTTATAATTAATGTCAGGCAATCACCCACCTGTCCTCTGTACCTTAGAAAATGTCTCTTTCTTCAATTCATAGAACATATTAAAACAGAAAAGCACCTTATATTGTCTTTAGCTCTCCGCTTTTCTTCAATGTATCTGTGAGTTTCTAATCTAGATTCTGGAGTATATGGTGTAGGCTCCTCCCAAAATCTTCTGTCTTCTTCATCATCTTCAACTGTTCTGCATGTTTCCTGCTCTCCATCTCCTTCTGCTTGATGGTTTTCTTTCTCCTGTAGGGAATCGGGGCTACACAAGAACACTGGAATATTATCCCAATGAAATGAAGGAAGAGTAACAGTTCTTGCTAATGAATAATTACAGTAATATTTTTTTCAACCCAGTAATAACAACTGTATAATTCCTACCAAGAACAATATCTTATATATTGGGGTAACATCCTCTGCTCTGCTTTTTCTGTTAATCAACAAAACACTAAGAAAGTGATAGTATGGCTATGACTAATCCTCTGAAAACCCCGATACATAGTTCAACAGATTCAATTTCAGAAGCAGAATTTTCATATACCCTCACAACTTTCAGGTGAGAGAAAACTTTCAGTCCATGTGATGTTTAAGTATTCCCAATATCAGGCAGCAGCAAATTAGAAACTTATAAGGTAGCAATAAGCATCTACTCAAGTGCCATCTTAACATTGAGTAATTTTTTTCTTCTAGCTCTAAGCCTCTCTAATTCTCTACCAACAGAGGGAGAAAACTAAATTTATGATAGAGCTGTGATCTATGAGGACAAAGTTCTGCAGGCAGCTCCATGGAACTTAGTCTCTATTAGATTAAAAATAAGATGGATGGCAACTGCAGTGTAAGATGACCCCAGATAAAAATCCTGCTGCTGTCTAGGGACTATCAGTGATATGAAGTGGAAGAAGTATGAAAATCAACACTGCAAAGCCTTTTACATCTCCAAAGACCTGCTACATTCCATTTCAGTCTTCAGATCTAATAATGCTAAAGCAAAAGCAGTTATAGGTGAACAGACACTTTCTCTGGAACCTCTGCATTACCTTAAATAACAATTTCCAGCTGTTCTCCTGAAAGAAGCAATCAATTACACTATTTTGGCATCCAGACAACTTAGCTTGGAGTTTTGGGACAAAAATTCTATTGCACTGTCTGCAGGCCAATAACAAACTGTGTTTGTAATTAGTTATATTTTTCATTAGAGATAACATGCAAAAGGAGAAATAATTCTGCTTGAATCAACAATAAAGATGAACAAAAATATTTATGTGAAATAATATAAACTCTTCAATGAGGAAAACCAAACTTCTTAATAAAGAAAGAGAAGAATGATATTTATTCACATACTATTGTTGCTTACTGTTACCTGTCAAATCCAAGCTTAGATTTCATTTGTTTTTGTTTCTTGTCCTTTCTTTCTTGCATCCTTCTTTGAGCCTCTTCCTTTTCTCTGGCCCTTTTGAGAAGGTAAACTTGTTCTTGTTCTCTGATTTTCTGTTTCACTTCTGGATAGTTTTGAAGTGCTTTAATCCTCTCTGAACGTTCTATTTCTTTACTATCCAAATACTTCCCAAAGCGGAAAAAAAATCAATATATATATGTGAGAAATTATAAGCATATTCAAATCAATAAATCTATTAAACTGTAGGTTAATTTTGAAAATTTTGTATACAATTAGAAATGTACCTTTCAAACCTTCATAGAACTATGTTATAATCTATTAAAAAGAATTATCAATAACTGTCTATTCAGATGTGAAAATGGTTTGTGGTAGTTTTGGCCATTGCACAGAACCTCAGTCTCAAAGTAGCTATTTACAGCCAATGCAACATAGCACATTTTTACACCAACTTGTGCCTTTCTACTGCCTTGCATTGCAGGTTTAGAACATACTGTTGGTATGGTACCAACAACCTGGTAACTTTCTGCAACCATGATAATAATTTAAAATCCACTGCGTATATAAAACAAATGAGAAAAAAAAAAAGCCAGAACAAACATTTATTTCTTCAAAACTTTAGGGATCTCAAATAAGAAAGACAGAAAAGTTCACAAATGCATGTGGTTCCATCCAAACAGAACCAATTATTAGAATTAATTTACTGCAGTCACTTATTCATCAGAATATCATTTAATTTCCTGTGGACAGTAAAATAATGCTACTGGTTTTCCCAGAACAGGTATTTATTTTATTTAGGATAAGTAGGTTCAGTCAACAGTGCTCTTTTTTTATTTGGATTTAATTTTTTAAATCTTACTTTTAATTGATGAAGTGTTGCCACTACAAATGGTCTATAGCCTTCAAATTCAGTGCATGGGTTACCCGCTAGAAACAGTTCCTTCAGATGTATGTTATGTTTTAGGGATTCAATACTGGAGAGTTCACCAATGAAATTTGCTGTCAGGTCAAGTTTCTTCAGTTCTTCACAGCCTAAATTTTGGAAAAATCTTAATTCAGTTTGTCCATAACACAAATGTACACATGACATACAAAGACACACACATGCACACATCTGGATATAAAACTGTCTCCATTTGTGTTCTGTAAACTATTTTTATTCTATCAGAATACATCTTTTCTGAGACTCTGAGTGAAAAGAGTGACTCACAATATTTAAAGGAAGGAAACAAACTCAATAAAATAAAAAAATACCAAAACATTATTGGTTTTATCAGTATCAAAACTTTGTGATCATTTATAAATGAGATATTAAATGTTTCATTTCTAGAAAAGCTGGACTTCACTTTTAACAGTCTGATTGCCTTGATACCCCTCCTCAACTGAGTCTTAACCATGTTGGTAAAACAGTGTCTAGGTGCTTCAAGACAGCAGGATCAATTACGGGTTTCATTTTTGTATATGGTTAATCTTTGCTAATATTATTAAAGTGAAAAGTCAAGGTTTTCTAAAAATTCACTCCCAGTTAAGAAGAGGTCTTCCATAGGTTTCACTCTATGGACTCAGCTATCATTTTAAACATTTTATCACTGGTTAAATTGCAAATACTGGTGAGAAAATGTTAACTAAAACAATCATAAACAGAAACTCTAAATTAGATAGCAAAATGCTCTGGAAAATCTCGATCCAAAATTTATCAGCCTCTCCTTTTATCATAATCTGTCCATGAAACCTGGACTCTAAGAGTAAAAACGTTGAGGTAAGAGCAAGCTCAGCTTTGATGCTCATCACTGTAATCACTTCTTTTCCTTTGCTGGTCTATTTGGTAAGTTTTATTCACAGTGGAGTTGAAGGAAAGTAACAATGCAAAACAATTTATCAGGGGATTATAACCCAAATTTATGCAAGGGTCATTCCCAAAGCTTCTAACTTCTAAGTAAATAACAAATCACAGTAAAAAATAATGCAGCCTGATAGATGAATTTAAAATTTAGTGGCATGAAAACAAATGCAAGTTTCTCAATAAATTGCCAAATATATGATGTACTACCTATTTCTTCAACTTTTACAAATTTGTGTTTAGACTATTTGCTTATTGTTTATTTAAGCCATCCTCTTGAATCAGCTCGCAGACTTCAAAACACAAACAAAATAAACCAACCACAAAATGAACGAAACCAAACCAAACCAACCAATCAACCAAAAAAAAACCAAAAAACAACCAACCAACCAAAAAAAAAACCAGCTTTTTTTTCTTTTACTGTTCCTTTTTCAAGGCAGATATCTTAAAGAGTTAGCAACTGGTCTAATCAGAATCAAGAAACAAAACAATCAAGTCATAAATTATTCAACTAATATGGAATGTGTTTATGGGTGGCTCTAAGTGTTAGATTATAGTCTTGGAAAATGCCATATCTTTGCACATGAAATGTGCAAAAGTGATAGGATAAAGGATTAAACACAGATAAAACAGGCAGGATTTCATGCAATGAGAGAGAAAAAAAATAATATGAAAACCTCTTTAAAAATACCCCACACCCTCAATGCAACCTGTGCTCACAGCAGAACCTTCCTTGTGTGGCATTTGACTGCTGAACTGAAGATGATTGTTGAAACATTACAAAGAGACATTTTAAAAAGTTCAGTGTTTAATTTTAAGAAAGTTCAATGAGAAAACTTCAGCACTAGGAAGCCCTTGGCTACAAAGCAGCATTTATTGAAACCCTGCATACAAAACCACTCAGTATCAAGAAAATACCTTCACTGGTGAATCTGCTTAATGGCTTCTACCCTCTTTCACACTAAGTCACAGTTTAAGTGTTCTAATATGAAAAGGCTAAATGGTTTGTTTAAAAACTGACCTTCCAGATTTTCAATTCTTTCAATGTTGTTCAAAGCTACATTTAAATATTCCAGCTTCTTTAGTTTGCTCACATTTTCTGTAACACAACACAGATACATTATTTCAGTTCTCTGCACTGGAAAGGGCATTACCATTTTACCTGTTCACTTTACTTCAAAGAAAAAATAATGCAGAAAACAGGAAGGACAAATCAGAACACACATCACATTACCGGGCATCAATATTTTAATATTAATTAAAGGACAAAACAAAAAAGTTCTCTGAAAACACAAATTAAAATAAAAAAGTAAAAAGAAATAAGGAATCTTATACGCACATTTTTAGCACAAATCCATAAGACACATATCTAATGCAAGAGGACTGGCCAAAAAGCATGGTGAGAGCATGACAAATGCAAAAAGCACCTGTTGTGAAACTCAGAAAGGATTAGACCATACTTGGACAAGCTTTATAAAATTAAAGTTTTACACTTACTTATATAGAAAATATTGGCTTTTTTAGTTTATCTGTAAATTTTTGACATCTTTAATCTACAGGTTTAGTACAAGAAACTTCCTCTTCCCCTTTTCTAAAAATTTTACACATAAGGATTTCTGTGAGTTCAGTATGAACAAAACAAAGACACACACACATACCCTGATCTTGGAGTCTAACCTGTATTATTTTCACCATGACCTATTGGAATTAGCAGGTTCACAGCGAGTGGGGAACATTTCCTCTTTGGAGGAAAAGGGGTAAAGAGGGTAGCAACAATCTTCATCGCTTCCAAAAATGTCTGAAAAATGCAAAGACCACTTGAGATAGATGACCCACAGGTCAGAGACTTAAATCTGAGACAAGATACAGTGGGTAACTTGTGTCATAGTTACCAATTTCTTCCCAATCACCACGTTTCAAAGATCTGACTGGAAAACCTGTCCAAAGAAGTCATCAAGTTTATCTCAAATTCTAACTCACAAGCTGCATTGAATAACTGCTGTACAAACTGTGCCTGCTGGGGCAAACAAAGTAATTCAAGCAGAGGGAGCTTCACCTGACAACCACAGATCATGTCTCCAGCTGAGTTAGTTGTTCAGGCTCTTCTACGATGATTACAGAGAACTAGGCTGTTCAAGGTGCAGTTCGTCTTACCTTAAATTGGCTGTCTAAAACTAGTGAATCAAATCATTCACAAAAATATGCCTTTTCTTCATGACTGGTTATAAAGGGAAGATACTGTAATTTGTAGACAAAGATGTCTACAAATTTGGTGACATGAATCCTACCACTTAGTACTAAGACCTTGGAGAGGTATTTTCTTCATAATTCACAAAAAAATGATGAAATTAATTTCTCAGCAAGAACTTGTGCAGCTTAGGTTGGATGTTTTTCTTACAGTATTTCTGTAATGGCAGTGCCTGTACACACGAAGACATGAGAGAGCTGAGTGTTGAAGCCAGTGATATCTTGGGGTTTTTTTCCATTTATAGAAGAGAATCAGGACGCATCCATACAGTGGGTGCCTGACAACCTTGCTCAGTAGGCAAGTCTGATCTTGAGGCCTGCAGAAAGGTTTTGTTTAAGAAGAGAAAGGACACATCCCGACAGAGTCAATATAAACCATTCCAGGATGATATTCAGAAGCATGCTTGGAAGTGCTGTGCCCTCTGCAAGGACATGTTGGTATCCACTGGAAGAATTACTTCTCAAATTCAATACTTTGCCACATAACCCCTGTTGGCAATGCTTTTGGTCACCCACTAAAGTGCAGGGATGGTGTGTCTTCGTGTGTGTTTGTTTTGGATTTTTATCCCATTAGTTACTAAGGCATTATCTTGGAAAGCCATTACATTATACAAGAATATATGATTCACTAAGTTGCACACTTTCCCAACTCCTACAGTTAGATTATGCCAAGATAAAAACTGCATGCCTCAAAAATGAAATTGCTGAGAAAACTTTGTGTCCAAAAAGCAACAATCTGAATATGATATCCTGTACTAACCTAAAGGAGGCCTGAGTGTTGACAGAAAATCCACAAGATGAAAACTTGTTAAGGACACAGTAACAGAGAGAAAACCAACTTCAGTTTCAGTCCCATTTTTGATGGGGCAAAGCATCATAAAGTAGTTTCAAAAAACTTATTCTCTCTGGGAGAAGATTCCTTCTCTCTAAGAAATGAAGATGGTAGCAGTACAGTTTCATGATGAGCCACTCCAGAGAACTTAACAGACTTGCCTACAAGTTCTGAGCACAGAATTTCATCTTAAAACTTCAGTATTTAATTTCTTCCTCTTAAGGAACTTTAAAGAGATATGCTAATATAATTCCTGAACAATTCCAACTTTTCAGTACTCATCTATGCACTATCTGTAGAGTCTAAGCTTTTCTAACCATAGGCTTGATGTTGCATCTTTCAATAGAATGTCAATGAAACACATGAACCAATGCCAAAAAATGCAGACCATATGAAGTCATATCCTCTCCTGTGGTGCAGGAAGACCACTGAGACTGTGTTGTAAAAAGTTTGGTTTATGCATAAAAGTATTTTATTCTAATGAAAATTATTTCAATGTCAACAAAAAAATACCATTTGCATAAACACTTCATTTAAAAATGAGCCTGAAGAGAGCTAATCCTATGACACCATAGTACATGGCTAAACCCTTTGTTTGCCACAAATACGGGATATTTAATAATATCTTGACTTTTGAGATTTTAATCAGTGAAAGGTGTTCCACACTCATATTCTAGTGAGTATCTGTATCCCAGTAGTATCTTTTCCATTTAAAATTTCTCTTGCAAATTTCTGAGCTTCTTAGAAACTTAATAAAGAAATCAGGAAAGGAACTCTTGTAGGAGCACATCCACAAGGAACCTCTCTGTAGTTACTCACTGTACATTCCCTTAAAGTACTTTTTTTTTAATCTGATTTCAAAATTATGCATGTAAATCCATTTTAAAATAAACATATCCAGAAAACACTTACCAATTTTTGGAATGAGATTATTCTGAAGATAGAGAATTTTTAAATCTCGACACCATTTGTCAAGATACTCTAGTTTTTCTATTTCCTGCTGATGTAAAGAGATTTCTTCCAGTGAAAAAATTTCACAGTTGTTATGTTCTGCACGTCTTCTAACAAGATCTTCAGTGACTGAAAGAAACATTAGATGTCATATTTCCCCTTAGTCCTTTTCTGCCATCTGACTTATAAACAACTTATAAATTCATTACAATACTTTTTTCCACCACACCAAATAGCCCAGTGGGAATGCCAACAAAAATAAAATCTGCAGGAAAAGATATTGAGTACCAAGTAACCTCGAGCCACTCTACCACAGTAAACACCTTTTGTGAAACACATTCACGTCGCCTGTAACATTTGGAAAAATCCATATGAAAACTGCTGAGTGTTCCATAAGAGTGAGATACAACCCTTGCAGAAATTAATCCAGCAGCCATTATTTTCTGCATAGCTTGGGTTGCAGACTGATTCATATAGACAAGAAATGGAGTGTTTTATGCTGTTTTATTTCCAGATGCCAGATGTTCACATCACAGAGAGCAGTGGGGGGGTGGGAGGGAAGGAAACTAACTACAGTGTGTCATCATATTCTTCAGTACAGTGTGCACAGAAATAAGCAGGATAAATGTTGAAAGTAGGCAGATATTTTTTATGGCAAAGCCATAACTAACTAATGCTTATAAATGTTTGTTAGAATGAAATGTGCACCCGGACATTTCTTAGGCACCATCAGCTCATTAGCAGCCAGCAAAGGAATTTCAGTGGCTGAAAAACACCAGAGACCTGGGTTCAGAGTTATCCTGTAGTAATATTTAATGCCAGGCAATCTTTCAAACAGTGGAAAGGCTCTGGATAATGAAGGTAAAGAAATTCTGTGAGAACCAATGCTCACTCTTGAGCTAGATGTTAGTACTTTGTTTCCAGCCCGCTGCACCAAAAAACGCTGGCATTTTCTTCTCCTTGACAAGGAGTGAAGCACTGATGAAAAAACTAGTGGTTTATTAAATTAGCATAGGTATTTTCAGGATTGCTAATGCCAAAAGACCCACAAAAAAACCACAAAAAACCCTGAAAACAAACTCCCTCCCTTCCCCCCCCAAAAAAAATTAATCCTTTAAAAAAGACTCTGAAGAAAAATAAGTAAAAATTACAGAGAGATCTGTGAAAACAAACTGTTCCTATCATGCATTAATTAAAAGTATTCTTTCACTTCTTTATCTCAGGAAGGGTTTGTGACATTATCCAGTTGTATAGTGGTCCTGGAATGGCTGCACACTTTCACACAGACAGGTCTGCTCCAGGTTGGGAAAACTATGTACCAATACAGCCCAAACTCACATGTGTCTGTGCCTCTCCTGTATCTACAGTCTTTGGAAAAAGGGGTGAAACTGGTTTTGTGTATATTATATGATTTAGAGATGACGAGGGTTAAATCTCTCTTCTGCTCAACAGATTTTCATCTGGCATGATTTACAGAATTAAACGTGGTGATACCGATATTGATGGAAGGGGGGAACCTGTCTGCACATAAATCATATTGGGAAAGGTAAGTGTCTTTGTATTTTTTAACCATCTTGGGCAGGTTTGCTGCATCTGAACAACCATCTTCTCTTTAACAGACCATTGATCGAACTTGATTAGAGTAACAGAGAAAAGAGAAAAAAAAAGGCAAATAACCATGACTAAATACTTTAGTCTTCAGAGAAATTATGAAAACACTGGCATTTCTAATAAGTTACTCAGTAAATCTGCTGCAAATTAAAAGGAAAAAAAAAAAGGCCTTCTTACTACTGTATTTGGAGCAGATTTTTCAGTGCCACTATTTCCAAGTAATTTTGAGCAAGAAAACAATATTCCTTAATCTGCATACATACACACTATGGCAATACTATGCTCTAAACCTTTTATACAAAGTCATACAAAGTGTTCCTGGCAGTTTAATTACAGCCAGATTTCCCTTTTCTGATGAAAATTAAAATTACTGTTGCAGCAATTATGCAAAAATGTCCACTTCCATTACCAGATGGTTTGCAAAGCAGAGACAATCATTCACATAGAAGCTACTGTGGAGCTTTAGGGACCTATTTTGGGGTCCTGCTGCAGGCAACTGAGTGAATATTTGGCAATTGGTATATGATCTAGTTCATTTAAGAGGAATGAGGGAAACAAGCTTGTAAGAAAAAACAAATTTTAAATAAAATTTAAAACAACAGCATTTTCAGGACATTGACAAAACACACTGAATTCACTGAGAAGTTCATTAAACAGATTTTCTGATGTTGTGTGCAGTAACAGGAGACTGGCCCAGTGACCTGGGAGGTAACAGCTACTCCCAGGTTCCCACGAACACAGGAGGAAATAAGGGATGGCATCACTCAACTGGAGACAACAGACCTTGAATATCTAACTTCCAAAAATTGCATGTTTTACTCAAAAAAGGAAGCAGATACGAAGGATAATATTTAAAAAATTGGAAGAATAAGCAGGTGGACAGCTGCAGGTGTATCTCGAAACAGTAGGGGCAGCTGCATTTCAGAAAGGTGAAGTATGCAATCATTATTTTAGGACTCAAATTCATGCTGTGCTGTTCGGGAGACAAAGCCATTCTCCTTCAGGCAGTGCCTGCTCAGGGAAGGCATCTGACAGCTTCATGCAGGGAGAAGGAGTTCCTTTCAAAGCATCATTTTAGCCCCGCACGGGACTGGCAGTACAGTGATGATATACAATCAAAATAGATTATAGGAAAAATCACAGAGGAAGGGAACTCCTCAGTAGCTTTTTTTATGAGTGGTAGGTGTGAGCACTCAATCTTCTAAATCATACTGCTATACCTGTAACAGATGATGTACCCATAACAGATAATCAATTCATAAGCAACAGTAGGGAGTATTTTAACCCCATTTGGGTTTTTTTCACATCTGACAGCCGCCGGCTCAGACACGACCCATCCTGTCCAGCATCTCCTCATGCAGGGGCTGCCATACACACAGAGGGCTCCCCAGCTGGGCCGCCTGCGAGGCCTCTCGGGGGCTGTTTCAGGAGACAAGAGCACCCCTGTGCTGTATGTGGTGGGTTGTTATTGCCAGGGAGGAGGGAAACCTGATAATCGAGCCAAGCTGAGGAGAGCAAGGGAGGCAGGAGAAGAGGGGGCAGCCAGGGGAGTGTGGGAATGGCAGGGAAGGGGAAACGAATCATGGAATCGTTCAGGTTGGAAAAGACCTTTGACATCATCGAGACCAACCCAGTACTACTAAATCCACCACTAAACCATGCCCCTAAGTGTCATATCTGTGCCTTTTAAATACCTCCAGGGATGGTGATTCCACCACTTCCCTGGGGAGTCAGTGCCCTTTCAGTGAAGAAATTTTCCCTAATATCTAATCTAAACCCTGGCATAACTTGAGGCCATGTCCTCTCGTCCTGTCACTTGTTACTGGGAGAAGAGTCCGACCCCCACCTCACTACAACCTCCTTGCAGGGAATTACAGAGAGCGACAAGGTCTGCCCTGAGCCTCCTCTTCTCCAGGCTGAGCCCCCCCGGCTCCCTCAGCCGCTCCTCATCAGAGTTGTGCCCTTCTGTGGACACGAAGGAGGTGTCCAGGGCGCGGGGCAGGTCCTGGGGATGAGGGAAGGAGCCGGGGAGGGGAGGGACGCGGCTCTTTGACACTCACTCCGCACCATGGCCGCCCCTCCGCCGCCATTACCGGACGCCGCAGCGCTGCCCCGGCAACGGGCCCGGGCGGGCGGTGCTGAGGGAGGTGCTGAAGCTTTTGTACAAACATACGAGAGTTTCAGCGCTGCTCCTGCCCCCGTTATTCGTCTGGGAAGACTCAACAGAGGTGCCTTTTCCGCAGGCATAAATCTCACGTCTGTCCTTTCTATGACACTTTTGTCCTCCTCCTGCGTGTTCGTCAGCCAGTTTGCCTCACGCATTTGGGGCTGAAAGCATGTTTATGGAAGCTGCCTGTTCCCGTGATTCATAGAATTTTAGAATCATAGAGCCGTTCAGGTTGGAAAATACCTCTAAGATCACCAAATCCACCTGTTAACCAAGCACTGCCAAGTCACCACTAAACCATGTCCCCAAGTGCCACATCTACACGTCCTTCACACCCCTCTAGGGATGGTGACATGGTGACTCCACCACTTCCTTGGGCAGCCTATTCCAATTCCTGATCACAGCTGTCATCAGATCAAAGTGGAAACAGCAAGGAAGTCACTCTGTAGTTCCTACCTCTTTGCTAACACAGGTCTTCATTAACCTAAAGGTCTAATCAAACCTAAAGGTCATCTTCTACTAACAGGAAAGTCACATGTAAGTTTAAATAAGGCTGTAAGATTTCTAAAAATTATCAAATTCATTTATTAAGTCATTTGCCTCTGATGTAAATGCAGCTCTCCACAGCCACTCTGCAACTTTCTTGCTGTATTGCGGATTAGAGAATGGAGGATGAAGGTGTTATTGAGTTCAGGCTACTGAGTTTTGTGGAGATAATGAGATACAAAGGAGCAGAAGTAGTTTATGCACTTTATTATAACTGCATAGTATTTGTCCAGGCCTGTCTGACTGGCTGAGTATCAAATCTATGCCGAGGACAGGGATGTTTACACAGCTGGACGGAGTCACCACTGTGTCCCAAGGCCCCTCCACAGAGCCACAGAGATTAAAGGAGGGCCACTGGTTCCACTACCTGCTGGTTCATATCAAATTGCAGGCCTCTTCAAATAAGGACTTTTATAGCTACTCCTTTTGCTAGTACTATCAATTCTTTACTTGGGAGCAGGGATCACAATCAAAGTAATCAATTTCAATAAGTAGAAGAAGAAAAAAAATCTTGTTCTTGCTGTGTACAGTATTTTAAATGCTACATTGTATTACATGGAAGTAACTATGTTATTTTGTTATGCTAAAAACAAGGGGGGAGGGTGTTCATCCCTTTTGCTGAGATTCTGTATGATAGTTCTGAGGAAAGAAATATACAATCTGCAGTTAAATAAATTGCCAAATAGTAAGGTGTGGTGGGTTGGCCTTGTCTGGATGCCAGGTGCCCACTACCTGTTGTCTCACTTCCCAGCCTCAACAGGAGAGGGGGAGAAGCTCATGGATTGAAATAAGGACAGGAACATGACAAAACAATTACCATCATGGGCAAAACAGGTTCAACTTGGGGAAATTAATTTAATTTACTGACAATTAAACAGAGTAGGATAGTGAGAAATAATAACTCTAAACGCACCCTCTTTTATTCCTCCCTTCTTCCCAGATCAACTTCACTCCAAACCCTTTTACCTTTATATCCTGAGTGAAGCCATGGTTTGTTTTAATCAGTATATGTGTAGGTCCTGTTTGCCAAATCTACTTAAGCTACAGGACTACTTGTTTGAGCAGGTAACTTCTCACTTGTGAGAAGTTTTTTAGCACAAAAGAAGTATTCTCTGTACACCAGTGACTGAAAAGCTCTCAGAATGTGTTTGTTTTTCTCTTGCGAAGAACAGTTTTGTTTATGACTCAGGGTTAAATTATTCAGGAAGACAGAAAGCACAACTTTGGAGCATGTGTTTGCAACACACTGGTCCTAACCTGGTGGCCTGGCACACATAGGGCAAAGCAAGATGCTGAATTAGGGGTTTTTTTGTGTTCACTATTTTCACACAGTTATTTTTCACTCAAATTATGTACTAAGAGCTTCAAGTGACACAAGCCTGAAATATTAGCATGAAGCAATGTACATGCCAGAGATAATGTAATGACCCACATTTCAAACAGAAGAATGGAGTAGAGAAGGAAGAAAAAGGGTCGCATCTGGCATGCCTTTCCTGAAGAAATTCACTTTACTGCTTTAATACATTACAACTTTATTTGTCAAACGCACAAAACAATGCAATATAAAATGTTTCTATGTCATGAGAAAATAATCTTTATAGCATTATTATTACAGTGTATCAGAATTATTTTGAACATGTGTTGGTTCCATCAGTATATACTCAGGTAAGGTGCTACAACCCCAGCAAATTGATATCCATGGCTGAATCTTAGCTGTTGAAATGCTGCAGCTCGGAGTCTCAGCCGGTGTAAATCAGCTGATTGATACCCACTCAGAATCTGAACCTATATATTTCTATTTATTTCCTATTAAATTACTGATTTTTAAAATATTACTTTTTATTTTATTTTTCTATGGTGATAAGTAACTTATCACCATAGGATAACAAACCAAGGCTTTATGTTTGCACAAAAGTACCAATAAATCCTTCCCCAAAGAGCACACAATCTACAGGGCAGGACATAAGCTCACAAATAAGAAATTCACTGAAGTATGCGAAGTTCCTATTGATAATAATCTGCATTACTGACAACACCCTCAAATACAGGAATGAATGAGAACAGGAACAACTGTACTGATATGGAAATGCCAGAGATAGGGGAGAAAAGCATCATGAGAAACCATTAAAAAACCCTCCTGAATATAAAATGAAGTAACACTTTTGCTCAGTGTATATTAAAATGTACAAAGAGGTTTAAAAAACAGTGCAGCCGATTCACAAAAACATACATCAAAGAGCAGACTCTGCAGAACTGGACTAAATGGTAATAATCTGTATTCTGTACCAGTGTAGTTTATTCCATATCACTTAAATAAAAGATGTTATCCTTGTATGGGTTGGCTTCTATGACTAATGCTTTCAGGATAACTACAAACCAGACCTGCTCACAGACTAAGAACATTATAAGGTAAGAGATGCCATCAATATTATCATCTCCAACATGAACATTCTCGCTATAAAGCACTACATGATATATGCTCAGGAATGACCCTGAAATTCAGCTGAACACAGCAAGAAATAAGAAAGTGTAAGACAAGGTGTAATGACAAAAATAAATTTTAAAAAAGTAATAAATGGTTTGAGATAATATACAGGGAGTTATAAATCTATACCTTGAAATTTCTATTTGATTCTCTTTTTCTAAATAACATGCTATGTTAAAGTGGAGTAAGAGTTTAATCACTGGGGACAAAATCATGAAATTCTCGTTGTTTTCTCTGTTTGTGGATGTGTCAGTTAATCAATAAGTGGTTTTACTTTGCTAGAATTATGTTTCAGAATTATCAGTTAGTCAACAGAACCCGCAAATACCAATTGCCTCTGAAAGTCTGAATTTAAATACTGAGGCTGCAAAATGTTGTTTTCACTTTTTCATCAGGCAGACCCTGGGTTCAATTTTTCATCCAACAGGAATGAATGTATAATTGTGCCTGTTTTCAGAGAAAACAGATGAGGCCTGTGTTTATGTCCATTGGAATATATGGAAGGGAACTCTCACAGCCAACCAATTTGGTGACTGAACAGAACTTTGTTAATTCAACGTTAATGAATATCATGGAGAGCAGGTCTTAAGAGATCCTGAGCATTTTATTTTTAGCTCTTGAGCTCCAGTTGGGAAATTGCTCTTGAAGTTCCTTCTCTCCAGATCAAAACCATTCTAATTTACAGTTTGTATTTATTAATAGATAGATTATAGCAATTCATTTTAGACCAATTTTTTTTTAGTCTGAATCAGCTTTTTCTTCACGAGTTTACAGGGAATTAACTAGTTTACAGTGACTCTGTTTTTCTAGTTTTCACATAATTGCTTTGATGACTGCAGAGTAATTGCAGTCTTAGACTTTTCTCTCAATATGGGATTTGATTTTCCAGATTATTATTCCAGGAGATTATTTGAACACTAAAGATCTTTATAATTCTTTAGTTCTAAAAGTGCATTTCATAATGGACCTTTTATAAGTAATCATAAAACAGGTAACAAAATATTTATACATTTTACACAATGATATTTACTCTCAGTTGTCTCTATAGTTTAAATAAGGAAGAGGAATTGTTTAATACTGACAAAATTCTTCACCTGCATTAACTACGAGTAAATATGAGGATGAGTCTTATAAATACTGTTTTAGTTACATAATACATCAGTTTTATGAAGAACATTGTCACCATTTATTCCTGGTGTTGTTATATCAAATGGTCTGTATTCATGCAGTCAATTGAATGGACTAGAATACAGTGAATGACTATGAAAATTGGTAATTTGGGTGAAATTTCACTCTTTAAGCTCTTAATGCTGAGTTATTGATGCTTATCTTCAAAATATAACCAGCATACATTTATCCTTTGGAAGAGAAATGTACATTTTAACTTCAAGTACTCTTTTCCTCATTGCATCATTTGTTTGGATTTTTGCTGCTAGAAATACAGTTATAATCTCCCTGAGTTTGGCTTAGACACAGTGTCTGACAGACAGTGGTGTTTTAGTTATGTAGGTTTTTTCTTCCTCCAGAACCTGTCGCTTGTGCAGTTTTGCTGCAGAGTTTTTGAATCCCTGTCATTCTGCCTCCCAGCCTGACTGTACCTCATGGGCAGACCCAACCCTTCCACAGGCAGCGTTTCAAGTCAGTGCTAGCACTGCTTTTAGCACACCAGGGGACAAGGAGACCAGAAGCAACAGGAGTTACAGAATGATTTGGTGGGCAACAGCATCTTCATGCATTATCATCGCTTTATTGCACAGGCAGACGAAATCCATGCTGTTCTAGATAAACTGGCACACAGGGACGTATTTTAAGAAACAGATTATTAGGAGTCACAAGATAACAGGTTTTGGCTCTATTTGTAGTTTAGTCTGTAGCAAAGATACAAGCCGAAAAACGGGGCTCAGTGTTTCCAAAGTAAATACCGACAGGTCTCGCATTTTGGTACATGATTCCAGGTAACGCAGATTCATCATTGCTTTACCACATTGTGATTCCTGGTTTTCTGAAGAGTGCTCTCCTTCCAGTAATAGTTCTTTCTTTTCTTTTTTTTTCCTGTCTTCTTAATGCTCAGCATAAAGGCCAAAAGGCAGTTCATATACATGATATAATAAAGCTTCTGAAATA